GGGCGTTGTTTAGCGCCCTGGCGAGGGTGCACGAAAAACATGAGACTGATCCCCCATGATTTATCACAAAAGACCGAACCCAACCGCGAAGCATCGAAAGAGGGAAGTATCGCGAAGGCGGGATCGCGATTTCTCACAATCGCAGGAAGCGCGTAAAGGTTGATCGTGAACCTTTGATGCTCGTCTTCATATAAGAAGTTTTAATAGCTATTTTTTTGGATTCTTCTTGCCTTCTTACTCTCTTCCTTTGTGTAGAAGCTTCAACCATTCGAGGGTGCTTATAAATTTATGTCCTCTATGTGTGGGGAGTCAGTTTTGGTTGTGTTTGTTCTCAAATCCTGTGTAGAGTTCATTCCCTCTTATGGGTTGTACACGAGGAGATGGTGGTGCTCCGGCTATATCCTCTCTAAGGTAATGATTGTATCCTTCACTTTTTAGCACGAGTCGACCTGGAGCTTGGAATTAACCAAGAAGGGAATAGACAGTCGGACGATAGGAATTAAATTTTCTATATTCGTCTACAATTTAACAGATGAAAGACCACTATAAATTAAATTAAAATGGTATAATTAAAATTACCTTGTTGATGGTTGTTCACGTCTTCTATAAACGTTTTCCCGTCTATTGCGCTCATCTTTTAATAATTTAAATCTTTTAATAATTTAATTAAACCTCATAAAGTTAGTTAAAACAACTGTGAGCTAAACGAGCTAGTAAATACTCATATTTCTAAACTAAAATAATACGGGGAAAAAAAAGAATAATATGAAGCTTCTTTATAAATTAATGTAAATATTTAATATGTTATTCGTAGGAAACTATATCATTATCATATCAATATCATTTCATATATATACAATTGTCACAGGAGACAACATCTAAAAGTTTGTGTGAATCAAAACACATGAATATCAATATCCCTTTCCATTTAAGTGAACGGGTACATTAGTGTTCTTCCACTAATATCATTCAGAAATGTTTCATCAAAGTTAGTCATGCACATACCAGCAGTCAACATAAACATATGTATTCATCGCATTTAATTTAACATACTATAAAACATAGACCAAATGCATGAGTAATTAACTATGATATCCATAACGATATGACCAATAAAGAAAAATAATATTTCAATCAGAATAAAGGACGCACAAATATCATCAACTGCAAATACATTTGAGAATAAACAAACTATTATTAAAATTTAAAAGTACAAGTACTCACTTGATTGTCAATTAAATTGCTATTTGATTTGTCTTGATGTTGACCCCTCTAAATTTGGAAGCCTGACAAGAAATAAAGTTTAGCTTATTAATTTAATAATTTGTTATCTTTTCATTACTTAGTACAATCATACTTAATTTCTATTATATATATATATAAAGGAATGGTCGAAGGTTATTAGAAGAGCTCTAGTCATCCCTATGTGTGCTAAAAATTCGAGTACCACACCCTACACACGGGGAGATTCAAACCAGTGACCTGAGGGAATTTATGACATTCAGAGATGTTGCTATACCAACAAGCCACGGATATATATATATATATATATATATATTTCGGGGTTATTTAGGAGTTATTTCGGGGTTAGTGAAGATAAATTCATATATTTCACCTCAATAACCCCGAAATAACCCATAAATAATCCTGAAATAACCTCCGCTATTCCACTTCAATTACCACAAAATAACACCGCAGAGGTTAGTTCGAGACTATTTCTGAGTTATTTTGGAGTTATTGAAGTAGAATATACTGGTTTCTCTTCAATAACCCTGAAATAACCAAGCAAAAATCCTAAAATAACCTCTGAGGTGTTATTTTGAGGCAGATTATTTCATAGTTATTGAAGTGGAACCGTGAAGATTATTTCTAAATTATTTTGAGGGTTATTATGGAGACCTGATTTCACTTTAATATTTTTTTAGGTGAGCCCATATAACACATGACATTACTGGAGTCAGAAATGCATGATTGGATATCGTAGTTCCACGGTTCTCCCCGCACTTCGACTTCTTCCCGCAAGGGCGACTCATTCCCTTTTCTTCTTCTTCGGCTCGATCATACACGGCTTCGACTCCTTCCCGCAAGAACTGTCCTCCGCAAAGCTCCTTCCTTCCCTCTTCCTCTTCGTTGTGAGTTAGGGCATGACTCTCCTTAGTCGCTCCTTCTTCTTGGACTCGACTTCGGCTGTCAAACACGAACCTTCTTCCTCTCTTCTTCTTCGACTCGGCTTCGGCTCCCATGCACGTACTTTCTTCCTCCTGCTTCCTCTTCCTCTGCAAGGTACCGACGCTGCCTCCTCCGCTTGACAAAAATGCCGCCTCTACCCTACCCTCACGTCATCCTCTTCACACAACGCTGAACCCATAGTTAAGCTGATTTATATTGGTGAAATCGCCTGCAATACTTTTGACCTCTGACCGCTTGTTTCCACTTCTTCAGCTGTTCATTTTCTCTCCCTTTCCCGATTCTTCGTTTTCCTCTTCCATTTTTGTTCTTTTCTTTTTCTATGTCCGTTACACTTCTGCCTTCCCCAAACCTTCTCCTCCCCCACTTTTCATCCTCCAAACTCTTCATCCGTCACCAACACCCTATTCTCTCCTTTCCTGCAGGTTATTACTGCTATCCAGCCTTCCGACCCCCTTCCAAACTGCTCCCAACCACCCCACTGCCCGCTGTCACCCGTCTCCCGTAGTTTCCATTATCCCTTTGAATCATCCCTATCCCTCTAGCTGAACTCCGCCCATCAGGATACATTTAGAAGTATTTATTTGTCTCATCTATGTCCTATATTGTTGAGTTGTGTTGTAACCCCTATTTTCTTATTAATAAAAATTTATTTGTGTTTCCACTATTTTTCTACTAATATCACGTACTCTAGACTCCAGTGTGATATAAAGTTATTTTTATAATTTTCAAAGAAAAGCCAACCACAAAAATTTAAGCCTCACAAAGCATTGAAAATGTAATTTCTGAAAATTCCCCATCACGTACACATTGCTAATTAGACAAATTAAAGTTCCATTTCATACTTTAGCTTATATAAAGGCATGATTTCCCGATCTAATGCACAAAATAAAATCCGTAAGTGCTGAAAATAATAAAGTCGATCTGGTTACCAGCGATGCAATCTGAACTTGTGGATCCGCACTAGTAAAAGTATGTTCAGGAATTTTCAGCATCTGATTGACGAGTTGTCTATTATTTAGCAAACTTGGACCAAGTAAGCACACGTACCATCCCCAAGCTTGGATGATGCACACCTCCATACTACAATCGTGTTGCATGTCCATAATCCTTGCTACTAAATTGCTCTTCAAATCGTGGACTAATGCCTGCTAAGTCATAATGCATGTTTCAATTTTTTTGTGAATGAGGCATGACTGAGGGAAAAAATTTTAGAATAACATGTCACAATTCCTTATTGAAAAAAAGGGGCATCTACATTCCAACCATACAATTTCTATTTACATATCTAATACCTAAAATTTGATTTTTTACATTTACAACAGTCGAATCATTCTCATCACATAAAAAAAACCACTATTACTAACTTTCCATACAGTGAAATACGGATGGTCATGCATAAGTAAAGTGTCATAAATGTAAAAATCAACATTTAGATATTAGAGATGTAAATATATAGGAATGGAGTGATATTTATGTTAATCTACCTAATAAAAAGTAGAACAATGAATAACATTCATCTTTCAATCAAATTTATTCTACCATGTATAGCATGGGCTAATTCAAAAAGAAGAATTTCAGTAAATAATGCATAAAAAGAAAAATAAATTGACTAATCCATGATACATAAGATATCAAACGTCAACTGGAAACCCTAGAGGATTATAACACCTTAAAATAGCAATTTTCAAGAAAAGATGACATAATATTGCATCAATAATTACAATTGTCAGGTGATTTCATTAGAAAACTATATTGTTGACTTATGTGTCTTATGATCTATTTTATTGATTTTGATAATTACAAACATATGTTTGGATGATCTAATATATGAATTAACTATTTCAAGTGCATTAATTTTATTGATGTATAAATTAAAAATTGGATCAAGGTATGCGCATAAGAGAGAACTCAAGATGGTTACTTTTATGCTCAAAATAGAAGATAATAAGAGTTTACTTGCATGATGTGTTTTTGCTCACAGCTCGATATATTAATTTAAATTTTCTTTATATATTATTAAATAAGGACAATAAACTTAATTAAATATTACTATATTTTAAATAGTTAATTATATAAGTTTAAAATTTTCTTAACTACTTCATAAGTAACGTTAAATTTGCGAAAATAAAATAATTGGGATGTTGAAAATAGGTCTACTTTATTTTATTATATTTGAAGTTTTATAAGTTTTTAAGGAAATATTTGAGTATTAATTAAGATTTTTAGAATTATGGTAAAAATTATTAAAATTTTATTTTTGCAAATAACATCTTACAGTTAGAGAATTTTAACTCGTATTACTATATTGTATTTGGTGGATTTTATAGATGCAATTTGATATGTTAAATGACCCACTCTAGATTAGAGCCGCATTTCTTATGATTTTTCAAACATTGCCCGTCTCTGCTGAAATGATTAGTCGTTATACATCCATGATATACATCCAAGTTTAACTTCTCTATTTTTTCTAGACGTTAGCTATCGGTTTGGATCTAATAATAACTTAATAAAAATCAAATTTTCACTAAAAAACATATTATTATTTGACAAAATAATGTTATAATAATATTATGCATTGAAATTAATTTACCCTTTGGTTATAAATAGTTATATTTTCTTTAAGAAATGGTTGCTCTTGAACTGTCAACATTCCAGCATATACTCCCTTCTTCTTTCTTTCTTTTTGAGCAAAATCTTAATGAAAGAAGTCTATACTATCATTCCAAGTAAACTACATATTTGCATGATCAAATTTTGTAGTTTGGAAGTCGCTACACACTCAATTAAGCAAACTCACTTGAAATCTTTTGAGTTTGTTTTCTTCTCCTTAAATCTTTATTTGTTAATTGTAATTTTTCATCTTGAGTGATTTATTGCTGGCTGAAAAAACAACCGCATAATTTGTTGTGGGACTATCACTTGTTGATTTAACCAGTAGGTTTGCCGGCTGAAATTCAGCCACGAGTCCGCCGTTAATTTCTTATTGGCATAAAGCTTTTAGCCGGAAAAGCATTTCCGATGAGCAATATTTTGCGTGATGGTTATCATTCGGAAATCAAAATTATCAGTGTAAATTCAAGCTCTTTCTCATTTATCTGCTAACAAGCACTAAATTCCCTTTAATGATAATATGCCATAGGTAAATAAGCCCAACCAAAAAGTCACAAAATAAATGCAAGTCAGACATATTTATGAATAATATCAAGATTCTAACAACCAAAAGAAAAAGTTGCCCACAACAGAGAAAAATAATTGAGTTGCCAACTCAAAAATCACAGCTTTGGCAAAAATAAGAGATTTATCATAAGAAATTTAAGGATCATATGTGTAAAGGAGGGTCTACATCATAGTGAAAAAACAAAGCAACTCATTTAGATGATGTGCATGCTGAAGTCTTCATACCCTCAATACATTTAGCAAATAACCAAAGGGCACAAGCAGTAAGAGTATTATCATAAAATCTCTGAAGGCGGAAGGAAAAATAACGGTGGAAATAAAAGTCACCGAAACAGATAAATATTGAAGGATCAATTCCACCGGAGAATATAATCTTAAAGATACTTCCAGAGACAGTCGACGAGGAAATCTAGCCAATAGTGGAGATAGGGATTTTAATCTTATGAAGGATTGACATAATAAAGTTTATGGAAGTAATGCTGTTAATAGACTGCAATAGAAATGATTGTGGACAAAGAATTGTAAGAATTTAGTCAAGAAGTGAAATATGATTGATGAGCAAAATTGCTTGGATCATAATATGTACAAGATGCCAACCCCAAGAGGTGTCGATTAACAAAGAGTCTGTGAGAGGGATCATACGCATGGAAATGAAGATTAAGGTGATCAAGGGAAGCACTGCATATGCACAAACGAAAGCCAAAGAGGAAACCCCGATTGGAAGCTACCAAAAGAAATGGGGTGAAAAGTAAGTGGCTTGCATATAGACAAACCACATGCAAATGGCAAGGCTACAGGCAAGCACATGAGCGAGATCTAGAAGTTGTCGGTCACTAGAAGTATGCAGTGCTGTGTTGAGAAAGTGCAAATAAGAGCCACACTACAACTATGAATGAGAGATGGGATAGAACAAAGTATGACAAGAAGATATTAACCCCAAAATGTAAATTGAGCTACATACTGTGGTGAATGGGCATGGTGAACCAATGTAGGAAAAAAAAATGAAGCATACTAAAATATAAGATTAGGCTTATGAAGTGAAAATGCCTCTGATAAAAGTTAGGCTTAATTGATATCAAGAAAGATATTTATAGGCGATTAAGGTTATTGAAGAAATAGAATTCAACTTTATTAAAATAAATGTCCTAAAAGCAATATTTATCATGCAATAATTTATCATTCAACGAGTTTTACAAGTATCGTTCAATGTGAGAAAAGCTAAAGAATCTCTTTGAATTAAATGCAACAAGAAAAAAAGAACTTAGGAGTTTAAATATAAAGTAACAAAGGAATATGATACAACTACTAGTTCAGACTATTTAATGAGAATTTTGGTATATATGTCTAGTGAAAAGTGAGATGAAAATTTTCAATTATGCGGTGTATACTCTTATATAGGCAACCGGATCTAAAAGATGTCAGAAGTTAAAAGCGTGTTTAGGGGAACTTTTAACTCAGTTATTGAAAAATATACAACTGAAAAGTCAAAACATTAATTTATTTAAATGAGGTGAATATAGCTTAAGTAATTGAGGTTAGAACAAAGCTTCACATAGGCCATTATTTTTAAGTGCCTTCAACTTAGATGCCAAACCACTTTCAAGAATTTAATTTTAGAAACTTTAATTTTGTGCAAATCATTGAACAAATAGTTTATATTATTTTCGGTACATATATTTCAATACAGACCCCTTTGAACTGCTCACCTTATAATACATATTAAATTCTTTTACATAATTACTTTGTACTCTATGATTCCTAGTTTATCACTCATCAATATTAACAATTTTCAATTTCACAACACCTAACGTGCACAGATGTGCCTCAGTAAAATGTTGATCCACCACATAGCTAAGCTAATATAATTATAATTTCATAAAATCTAACTTATATCTCTACAATAGTATCTTATTGCAACACTCATGACACATTTATTTTAGTTGTCCAACTCTCACTTAGAGGTTTTATCCTTATCTTTATCCTTATTATTTTGCATGTCAGATTCAGGATACATAGACTGGCACTGTAAGCTTCACTTAATCAAAAATATTGATTGCTAATCAACTAGTTAAAATCCACTAAATTACATATTACAAATTTTTTTCCACTAATCTCAAGTCAATTAACTTCTTAAATTCTTATATTATTTTAATTTTTGCTTACATTACACAAATCATACCTACCTAAACTAAGTCATAGGCAAATATCATACACCAAAGCACCTCATATGATATCTAGAATAAGTGCAAAATTAGCAATAAAATGAATTACAACTAACTTGATCAACACTAGATAAGCCATTAAACCAATCAACATATGAGCATCAAAGGAATCTCTAAGATAAAATCAAACAAGAAATACATATTCTCAAAATAGACTAATATCCTAGAAGGCTTGAATTTTTTATTTAGCGAAAGAAGTGTAATTAGAATAGAATCTAATCAAAATTTGTTCAGCAAGGGTAAGGATTATACTACAAGTTGTTTTTCAACCACTATTGGAGTACAAAGCTACTGGAAAAATTCTCATAGATAAAAACTATAGAAAAAGTGAGATCCAAGTCAAAAAAAATGTCATGGGAAGAAAAAGAAATGGTTAGATAAGCATGAAGAACATATGGACTTCTGGGATTAGTACTGAACGAAAAAATGGAAGCTCTATGCTTGAAGGAGAAAAGACTAACAGAAATATGAAGATGCAAGCATAGTAATTTGGCATTATTTGATGGTTAAAAAAAAAATTATCATCTCCATCTTATACCTCTAAACCGCATCAAAATATATCCTTTGTCGCATGGAAATACAGATCCTTGAAATGAACCTAAGGATTTCTATGTGGTCTTTTCCAGTAAGGATATAAATAATTAGTGGATCCTGTCATTTAAGGAGAAAAAAAACCCTTTACATGATGCCACTCATTCTTTATGGAAAAAAATCAGAAAAGAAAGTCTAGCAAAAAAGAAGATTATTGTAAAGCCATACAAATTATATAAGGTATAAAATTACCAATAACCTCCTAAATAAATCATAAGGAGGAGAAGAAAAGACCTCACAAAAATGAGGTCAACACATGCCCATATTTTTTTTAAGGTACGGAAAAAAACAGCATAATGAGCAACTTCGAAAGAGCTGGCGGAGAAGGCAATATGATTGATTTTATCTTCATAAGGCATCTTTGTGTTATATCCCTTTCCTTCTTATCATAGCTGATAAGCCTTCTATATATAGGCGGAAGCCATTGGTTTGCAGCCACTCGTAATTTATTAGGGAGCTGAGTAGCTAATTTCATCACAGCCTTAATGATAATAATAAAAAAGAAACATGCAAGATTACAAAACTGAAAGAGACAAATTATGATGAGTCAAAAAAGTATAATTATCAGATAAGAGAAAATCTTACGGAGCATAAATCAGTCAACAACATGAAAAATATTCAATTTTGAGATAAGAAAACTTGAGGATTTCCATTCAAAAATGAATTAATTGTCAAAATGGTCCTCTAACTGCTTATATTGGGTCATTTTAGTGTCAGAGTTTATAAAAGTGATAAATTAGTCCCTAGATTGTTTGAATTGTCCTCACTAGGGACTAATTCAACCAATGATAAAAAAGTATGGAGACTAAATTGAAACTTTTATAAACTCTAGAACCAACATAACCTCTTCCAAAGGGTCAAGTGTCTCATTCAAAAACAAAGTATCTAAAAATGTTTACTACACTTGAAGATGGTGTTTTATCAGATATGATTCAAAAAGCTTAATAACTGAACAATCAAACATAATGATAACACGATGTCCTAACAAAACACTTATAGACATGTTAAAAAGAAAGTTTGTGGATCAAAAATCAGACATCTTTTTAAGATTCACTATGCTCCATCTAAGGTCATCTTATTCAAACAA